AATAAACCATTGCAATACGAAACTAGAAAAAAATCCGGTGAACAATGTTGCTAACATCACCAAAATACCGAATATGGTGAGGTACCGTTATATCGGAGCTATTCGAAGACCTGGACCTGCATAGACAATTTTCTGTCACAGGCTGTAGTACCACTTAGTAACTTCAAATATGAAATTTCACAAAATTTCGGTGAATATTGTATCTAAAATCGGCAAAAAACGGATATAGAGAGGTACTGATATATGGAGCCTATACGAAAACCTTGACCTGCATAGACAATTTTCTGGCATAGACTGTAGCTCCTATTACGAAATCTAAATACGAATTTTGAAACAACTCCGGTGAATAATGTCCTAAAATCGTCAAAATATAGAATATAGGGAGGTACCGTTATATCGGGCTATACGAAGAACTGAACCTGCACAGACAATTTTCTGTCACAGGCTGTAATACCTATAAGGAACTTCAAATACGAAATTTCAAACAAATTCGGTGAATATTCTATCTAAAATCGTCAAATACAGACCTGCACCTGGATAGACAATTTTCTGGCATAGACCTATTACGAAATCTAAATACGAAATTTGAAACAACTCCGGTGAATAATGTCGCGAATATTATGAAAATACCGAATATTGGGGGGGGGGGGGGGGGTACCGTTATATGGAGGCTATACGAAGACCTGGACCTGCATAGACAATTTTCTGTCACTGGCTGTAGTTCCCATTTCCAACTCTAAATACGACATTTGAAACACATCCGGTGAAAAACGTCGCTAAAATAATCGAAATGCCGAATATAAGAGGGGGGGTACCGTTGTGTGTGGACTAACCGAGATCGTGGACCTATATAGACATTTCTTCTCCTGGGGGTAAAGTGCTTACAAAAAACTTTTAGTATGACAAATTCATTGAAAAATGTAGCCAGAAACATTAAAATACCGAATATAGGGAGGTATTGTTATATGGGAGATATACGATATCGTGGACCTATATAGACAATATTCTTCCAAGGGAAAAAGTACTCAGAAGGAACTCCTTTTGTGGATTTTCAGACAATTTCATTGAAATATTTGGCTACAATCATCAAAATACTCAATATCGAAGAGTACTGTTATATGGGGCTATGTGATATCGTGGACCGATATAGCCCATCTTCGAACTTGACTTGTCTGCAGACAAAAGACAGATCAGTGCAAAATGTTTGCTTCATAACAACAGACAGGTGGAGGGCGGACAGGGCTAAATCGTTTTAGAATTTTACGCTGATCACTCTGTTAGGTCTAAATTTATAAATTCGATGAGTTACAAATGGAATGACGCACTTAATATACCCTCCATACTTACTATGGTGGATGGTATAAAAATAAAGTAGCCCTATCGATTGCACCAGTGTTGCCAACTTTAATTCAGATTTTTCATTCATAATTTTGCGTTTTAATTTTATCTATATTTGTCGGTAACTCAAAAAATGTTGTGTTGGAGAATTTCACCACAGAGTTGTGTATATACGTTGGATTTGTAAATAAATATTTCGACATTGAGATGTTGTGAAATGTATAATCTTAAAAAAAAGTGTAAACAGGTGATTGAATGTCTTTGCCTTCTTAATTCTACCCTGATATCAATGGTAAAATTTCGGAATTCAATATTTCACATAGAAGGGAAATGGCGTTGGAAGTCGCACATAATTGGTAGTGACTTATTCGAAATCATTATCAATTATTGGGGATGTATTGAAACTAATTTGAAACCAAGAGAAATTACTTCTAAAATAACAAAGAAATAAAAAAGCAGTTAGTAGCTTTAAAAGAGAACTTATTTTCAAGAATAAAAACGGAATGTCCGTGGGACTTTCCAAAGCGTGTTTAGCATACTAGTTATAGAAATTGTAACAGTAAACTTACAGGTTATTTTTTTTAAGATTGATTCTGAAAAATTCGAAACAAAGGAATTCAAGTGAGTTACTCTTCTTACTCCCCCTTTAATTCATTCGCTTCGAATTTCACGGAAACTACTACATCTTAATTTTTCTTGATTTTCATATTTATTCTAATAATATAATTTGTATGGAATATCCCATACACGCAGATATTTCCTAATATTTTTTTTTTATTTTGTATATGTTAACTTGTCTTTTTGTCTTGTGTGAGAGTGAGGATTATTTGTTTTTTGTTTCTTTTTGTGGGTTTTCTTGTATCCCTCTCGTGTTGTCTTAAAACTATATGTTTTTTATTTAAAATAAATTTCATTTAGTTTTCATTTAATTGGTCTCATTTTTGCAGTTACATTTTAATTGTTTTTATTTTTTTTTTTTAATTTTATAATTTTATATTTTACATACAATAATAAGCAATAAATGTGTAGCAAAAAGTATAAGTAAATATATGTCATTGTAAATATATGTATATGTACAAAATTTTCTATATAGTATATGTACATACATAATTTGAATAAATGTTTTGGGATTTTTTTTTCAAATTTTTAATTTTTTAGTAGAAACAAAAAATAATAATAAAATAGGATCCAATTTTAAAAAATGTTTTAAAATATATTTGTTTATTTAATATGTTTTAAAATATATTTGTTTATATATTTGTTGTTTGTTTGATGGATCCTGCTCTATGGAATAAAGATAATATGATGTTCTGGTCTTTAGAATACTAGGAAAATATTTGTTTCCTGGGTCTACTGCGAGTGAGAGGAACAACTCTAATATGAGAGCCTGTGGATTTAGATCGAAAAAAATATATATATAACATTTTGCTCACTAAAAAGTAACACGTAAAAAAGCAGTTGTGTTCGGCAGTTGTGTATGCCTTGAGAGGGAATAAAAAAGAATTGTGACATTTGAATTACGGAGAGTAATGAGAGAGGAAAAGAGAATAATCAGGTAATTAAAAATCAATTGGTTTGTGGTCGATTTGATAAGGTGATTGATAAAGTTTAAAATTGTCAACCATTTAATTATTATACCCTGGGTCATATGGCTACAGAGGGTATATATATACTATTTGATACGGCCAAAACGTGCTTCATCGAAATAACGGTCTTAGACCCTAGGTCTCTTTAGGCCAAATTCGTTTCAGGACATTTGAAGTCCATCTAGCGATGTTCGTCCGTCTGTCTGTTTGGCTGGTGCGGACGATAACTCTCGATGGGAGTATCCAATTTGATCCAAACTTGCTACATCGTAATATTATTGCGAAACTTAGATCGAGTTCGGAAATTGACAATATCGGTCTACTATTTTTGGTACGTTCCCCAAAAAAAGTCGAACTTTTGAAAGAAAATATTTTACTGCACAGGAGGAGAAATGATAATCCGATTCTGCTTCAATTTTGCAAATCCTGATATTTGCATCAGTGTCAGGTCCGGAGCGAAAATGGACATTGTCGGCCCCCTCCATTAAATACCTCTCTCACAAAGGCTCACAGTTTTGAATAATTAAAATTTTTATAAAATGTGATGTAAGAATCTGATAGTCTTCAAATTTCACACATCATCACAATATTTTTATTAACCCGAGGTCTGGTGCGAAGATAGAATACATAAACCCACTCTTTCCCGTACCTCCCCAAAAATGGTAAAAGTTTTTAATAACCAAAACGATTATAAAATCCGAAATAAGCATCCGGTTCTCTTCACATTTCACATATCCCTATATTTCTACTAACACAAGATCTGCTGTGAAGATGGGATATATCGATCAACTCCTTCTGGCACCTCCCCCCGGAAGGGTCAAAATTTTCATAAAACGCGAAATTTGTATCCGATTCCATTCAGACTTTGTATATCTCAATATTTTCATCAACACAAAATCTGTTATAAGGATGGTAGAGATGGGATAGAGTTCAGGATTTTCAAAAAAAAAAAAAAAAAAAACGAGTAAAAAAGCTGTAAGCCCGAATATCGGGGGATACCGTTATATGGGGGCTATATGAAGACGTAGGCCTACAAGGCTCATGACTTAGGATGTAGTATCCATTACAAACTTCAAATGCCAAATTTCGAAGGATTCCGTTAAATAATGTCGCTAAAATCATCAAAATACTGAATATCGGGGGTACCGTTATATGGGGGCTATACGAAGACATGGACATGCACAGATAATTTTCTGTCTTAGGCTGTAGCATCCATTACGAACTTCAAATGCCAAGTTTGAAACGATTCCGGTGAATAATTTCGCTAAAATCATCAAAATACCGAACATCGGGAGGTACCGTTATATGGGGGCTATATGACAACTTGGACCTACATGACCCATTTCCGAAATTAACCTGCCTACTGGCAAAATATACACGTGTGCAAAATTTTAGCCTTCTATCTCAGTTTGTTCGAAGGATAGCGTGATTACAACAGACGGACAGACAGACACACAGACGGACATGGCTAAATCGTCTTAGAATTTTACGCTGATCAAGAATATATATACTTTGTTGGGTCTGACATGAGTATTTCGAGGAGTTACAAACGGAATGACAAAATTAATATACCCTCCATAGTATGGTGGAGGGTATAAAAAAACGCTCAAAGGAAGCGAAATAAGCATCCAACTTCTCTAAGAAAATTTTATCTCATATAAAGTGATGGAAATAACCATTATAGTCCAAATCTGGCACGTCGCAATATTTATATCATATTTATTTAGAACCGATACGAAATGGACAATATTGGTCCATTTCATTGGAACCGACGCCACAGAGGGTCAACAATTTGAATAATCATAACAGAAATGAAAATATATTTAAATAGTTGAATCTTGTCTGAGGATATATCTTTTCAAGTGGATTTGCAGATGAAAATCCCAAAAGAGTTTTGAATTCGTAGGCCAAACTTTTTTAAAGGCCTTCACCGTATACGAAGGGAGACCAATATATTGAGATGTATTTCGCAACATTGAAAATATATATAAATGATTGAGATTCTTACTCTATGTATCACTATACACAAATATAAAATATAAATAAACAAAAAATAAAAACCAAAGGAAGATATTTAAAAAAATCATATTTTATTTTATATAACAAATAAATAACTTATTAATATCAACAGCTTAGAAATAACAAAAGGCATTGTATGTACATGTGTGTGTGTGTGTGTTTATGTTTTTGTTACTGTTTTTCCCTATAGGATTTGAAGCGATTCAAGACAGGTCATTTAGAACTGTCGATTCGAAAAATTCATATCAAAATAAGCCATATGCCAATGTGTGATGTGACTGATGCGTTGGCACTGTTGACTTTGTCTTAATATCTATGTATGTGTGTAAGTACAGGACTTCCTATGGGAAAACGACTGATTTCCTTCTCAAGTCACATTTATATGCATTTCAAAATCTTTCTCAAAATTTACATTAATTAAAAAACCAAAACATTTGTTTTTATTTCTCTAAGTGCATTTTTGTTTTGTTCTCTTAACAGCTAATAATTCTCATTTTCACATTTTGTCTAATAATTTGTTGTTCTAATATTTGCCTAAAAAAAATTCTACTACATGTGAGTGTACTCTATTCCAAAAAAAGCGAATTTGGAAATAGATTTCCTGGAATCTACACTCTTCTTATTTATAGCTTGGTATTTCCTTTCCCTTGTTTTTTTTTTTTTTTTTTCATTTTCTCCGTTCGCATAATTAAAGCTTTTCCAGAGTTCTTTGGACGGTGGTTTCAGTAACATGTGTTGGAGTTGTTGTGGTCGATGTTGCTGCCATGGAGGCAGCTGTGGCTGCAGTCGTCATTGCTGTTACTGCTACGGGCGCTGGAGTAAAGTGTTCACGCATAATGGCACTGCTCGAGGCACTACGCCGAAATCAACTGCACAGCATATTAAAGAAACCTTTGCCCTTTTCGGAGCGTGGTGCCATTAGCATAGGAACTTGATTTTTGTGGGTGACTTTAATCTGAAATGAGAGGAGAAAACAAAAAATAAAATATTGATTATTATTTTAATTAAAAGGGTACTAAGAGATTAATGGAGTATTTGAAAACATTTATAATTCTATCCAAAATCTTAAATTCATATTCACCTAAAGTTTCCGGTTGAGAGAAATATTTTTGATATAGCAAGTTGTAAAGGACCGCTGACTTGTTTCGCAAGTTTTGACAGATAAAAGTATTGACAATTGTGATAATAGGTGAGGTACCAGAAGGGGTTCGCAGATATATATCATCTTCACAACAGATTTTGTGTTAGCAAAAATGTTTGTTTGTGTGGAATTTGAAGAGAGTTGTAGGCTTATTTCGCTTTCATTCAGCTCTTTGTTTTTCAAAATCTTGAATCCTTTCTGGTTAGGTACCAGAAGGAATGTTCCGATCTCTACCATCTTTACAAAAGATCTTATGTTGAGGGGAATATTGAGATTTACCAAGTCTGAATGGAATCGAATGTTAAATTCGCGTTTTATGAGCTTAATGGGTATTGACCCTTGACCTTTGACCCTTTGTGGGGGAGATACCAGAAGGAGTGGACCCACATATATGATCTTCCCAATAGATTTTGTATTAGTAGAAATAATGGGATGTGTGAAATATAAAGAGAACCGGATGCTTATTTCGGATTTTATAGACGTTTTGGTTATTCAAAACTTTAACCCTTTGTGGAGGAGGTCCCGGAAGAAATGGTCCGATCTCTACCGTCTTTATAATAGATCTTTTGTTGATAGAAACATTGAGAAGTGGCAAGTCTGAATGGAATCGAATGTCAATTTCGCGTTTTATGAGATTCATGGATATTCAAAATTTTGACCCTTTGTGGGGGAGGTACCAGAAGGATTTGAACTTTATAATCCATCTTTACACCAGACCTTGGGTTAATATAAATATTGTGATGTGTAGAATTTGAAGACAATCGAATTCGTACATCAAATTTCATAAGAGTTATAATTATTCCAAATTTTGACCCTTGTTGGGGGGGAGGTACTTGATGGAGTGCACCGATATTGTTCATTTTAGCACATGACCTAGCACAGATGTAAATATTAGGATTTGCACAGTTGGAGCAAAATCGGATTATCCTTTTTGTCTCTGTGCAGTATTTTTTTTTTAAATGTCGACCTTTTGTGGGGGATGTACCAGAAAAAGTGGTCCGATATTGTCTCTCTCCGAACCGATCTAAATTTATTATTACGGTGTAACAAGTTAGGACCAAGTCGGGTACTCGCTTCGGAAGTTATCGTGGGCACCAGCCAGCCAGACAGACGGACGGAGGAAAAGATATCGCTAGATCGACTCCAAATGTCCTGAAACGGATTTGGTCCAAAGAGACCTAGGGTCTAAAACCGTTATTTCGATGAGGCAGGTTTTGGCCGTATCAAATGATTTATACCCTTTTTTTAGCTATATGGCTGAGTGTATAAAAAGGAATAAAAGACTTCAAAGAATGACAACCGATATTTTATTGGAGAAGACCAAAGACCTTCTATTGAAGGAGTCTTCTATTGACAGAGGAGTCTTTAAGATAAGATCTATTGATTTTCTTTAGAACAATAAAAAATACTGTTCAATGGTAGAAACTCCAAAGGTCTTCTAAAGGAAGATTCCTAATGGACCTAATCGACATCTAAATAAGATATTTTATTAGAGAATACCAAAAGGTCTTCTACTTAAGAAACACAATAAGCGGTTTTTGGGGAAAGGCCTAATGATTTTCTGTAGAAGAATGCATTATGGTGTTCAATAGAAAATACTCTGATGGCCTTTAAAAGGAAATTGGAAGATACGTAACGGACGTAAGAGACAACAAATTATATTTTGTTAGAGATTACCAAAAGGACTTCTATTGAAGAAACACAAATGAAAAGGCCTATTGATTTTCTTTGGAAGAATACCAAATTGCGTGCGGAATATAGCTAATAGTCTATTATAGGAAGATACCTTTTGGATCTGACCGACATCTGACAATTTATATTTTATTAGAGAATGTCAAAAGGTCATGCCAATTGAAGAAACACAAAGGAGGTGTCTAGGGAAGCACCAATTGATTTTCTATAGAAGAATGACAAATGGTGCGATGGAAAAAACTCCAATGGTCTTTTACAGTAAGAGACCAATGGTCTTCTATGAAACTTTTAATGAAATTACTATTTATATTCCCTTAACAAGCCCGATTGATATTCTATATAAAGAGCCAAAATTAAGACTCTTTAATTGATTTTCTTCTCTGTTTAAATTCTCTACCTCACAAACTTACCGTGCAGGGTTGTTGCATCCAGGGTTCGCCATCAATTTGCATGGGAAATGTTTTGCGTGTCTTTATAATAACCTCACTGCACTGGGCCAGTCTTCTGCCGGAAGCACGTAAGCCAGTGCGCACCTGGCCCATATGCAAACAGTTCTCCAGGCCAATAACTTCTATAAGGCGATCGCCAAAATCTAAAAAATAAATTATTTAAATGTATCAGAATTCCATGAAAAATATTCTGTATTTCCCAAACATACCTTGTATGGCCACCGATAGATCACCGGAGGTAAAGCTTGTCGTTGACAGCTCCTTATCGGATGCTTTAAGTTTTTTGCCCTTACGAAAGGGTCCCGTACTTTTGCGTATACGTTTCTGTGACAGATGTTCGCCCCACAAATTCGATCCGCCATGGGTATAGGGAATGTTAAGTAAGGCAATGCCCTGTAAATGTGGTCCATTGGCCAAGTCCAAGGAGACACCATCACACTATTGGCGAAAAGACAGAAATGAAAAACTTGCTGCAAACTTAATTATGCCATGACATGTTTCAAACAGAAAATTTATTTTCCCAAAATATCTGCTCTAATTTATTTAGGATATTTTGTTTTTGCCCGTCTCTTAAGCAAAATTCAGCAACAGCACTTCATTGTGGTTTCCTTTGGCCTTTGCATATTTTATCTTGCATTGTGTTTCTTATCAACTAAAATGCTGAGGCACGTTCTTGTACTTACAAATATTTCAATATTCTCATGAAGATTTTTACAAGAGGCGGCAAACGTTTCCGAGGTGGCGTATTCAAAATACCAGAGTTTATTTTTCATGCGGCTGTTGAATTTATGAGGATTCTTTTCACGTTCCAAATGAAATTTAACACAAATTGCGGCATCCTATTAATAAGAGAGAGAGTGAGAGTGTGTGAGAGAGAGAGAAATTAACAGATGAAGAGATATGGTAATACAGTCAAAAGTAAAGAGAGAAATGACAATAAGTTATAATTAAGAATCTAATTTGTCGGGCATTTTAAATGATAATTAATTGTCTAAATGGGCGTTAATTCGGGGAATTTAATTGATTTAAGTGTTAATTTGATATTCTGAGCCCTTGAAATATGTAAATTGAAAATTGTTGACTTTTATGCAAAGTGTGACGTATGTTTTATAATTATACGTATCAAAGAATAATAAAACTAGTACGAATGTACAAGTCCTTTATGCCGACAGTTGAATAAGACTAATGGTGAGAATACATAAAACGCTTTTTTGAATGGCTTCTTTGTAGTATAACAAGGGAGTTTTTAGCTTGATTTGGGTTCGATTTTGGCCCTAAGCTCATTTGTTCTTTTCCGAAGAAGCCAGTTAGCCAATTATAATCAAACTTAGATTGAGTTCGGTGATGTACAATATCGGTCCAAGTCCTTCTTGTACCTCCACACAAAAGGTCGAAATTTTCAAAAACAAAACAAATATTTTTTTTGACAGAAAAGAATACTCCGATTTTGCTCCAACTTTGCCAATATTAATATTTGCATCACTGCTAGGTCAGGTGAAGCAATGTGCAATATCGGTCCACTCCATCAAGTACCTTCCCCACAAAGGGTCAAAATTTTAAATATTTATAACTCTTATTAAATGTGATGTAAAAGTTCAAATGTCTTCAAATTACACACATCACAATACTTTTATTAACGGAAGGTCTGGTATAAAGATGGAATATATCGGTCCACTCCTTCTAGTACCTCCCCCATAAAGGGTCAATATTACAAATATGAACAACGAAATATGAAAACAAATATGAACGCGAAATTAACATTCGATTCCATTCAGGCTTGGCACATCTCAATATTTCTATCAACAAAAAAGGATAGTCGAGATCGAACCATTCCTTCTGGTTGCTTCCCCACAAAGAGTCAAGATTTTGAATAACCACAACGATTATAAAATACCGAAAAAAGCATCCGGTTCACACATCCCATTAGTCCATTCAGACTCAGTATATCTAAATAAAAAAATATTTTTTTAAAAAATTCAGGTTTATGGTAAGGACTTCCAAAATATTTTTTTAAAAAATCCAAGTTTATGGTAAGGGCCTCCAAAATATTTTTTAAAAAATCCAAGTTTATGGTAAGAGCCTCCAAAATATTTTTTAAAAAATCCAAGTTTATGGTAAGAGCCTCCAAAATATTTTTTTGAAAAATCCAAGTTTATGGTAAGGTCCTATAAAATATTTCTTAAAAAAACCACGTTTAAGATAAGAACGTCAAAAATATTTTTAAAAAATCCACGTATATGGTAAGGACGTCAAAAATATTTTTTTTTTAAATCCACGTTTATGGAGGGGACTTCAAAAATATTTTTTTAAAAAAAATCCACGTTTATGGTAAGGACGTCGAAAAAATATTTTTTTAAAAAAATCCACGTTTATGGTAAGGATGTCGAAAAAATATTTTGAAAAAATCCACGTTTATGGTAAGGACGTCGAAAAAATATTTTTTAAAAAATCCGCGTTTATGGTAAGGACCTCCAAAATATTTTTTAAAAAAATCCACGTTAATGGTAAGAACCTCCAAAATATTTTTTAAAAAAATCCACGTTTATGGTAAGGACTTTCAAATTATTTTTTTTTAAATCCACGTTTATGGTAAGGACCTCTAAAATATTTTTTTTTAAATCCACGTTTATGGTAAGGACCTCCAAAATATTTTTTAAAAAATCCACGTTTATGGTAAGGGCCTTCAAAATATTTTTTAAAAAATCCACGTTTATGGTAAGACTTCCAAATTATTTTTTAAAAAATCCACGTTTATGGTAAGGGCCTTCAAAATATTTTTTAAAAAATCCACGTTTATGGTAAGGGCCTTCAAAATATTTTTTAAAAAATCCTCGTTTATGGTAAGGGCCTTCAAAATATTTTTTAAAAAATCCACGTTTATGGTAAGGGCCTTCAAAATATTTTTTAAAAAATCCACGTTTATGGTAAGACTTCCAAAATTTTTTTTAAAAAATCCACGTTTATGGTAAGGACTTCCAAATTATTTTTTTAAAAATCCACGTTTATGGTAAGGACTTCCAAATTATTTTTTTAAAAAATCCACGTTTATGGTAAGGGCCTCCAAAATATTATTTAAAAAATTCACGTTTATGGTAGGTCCTCCAAAATATTTTTTAAAAAATCCACGTTTATTGTAGGCCCTCCAAAATATTTTTTAAAAAATCCACGTTTATTGTAGGCCCTCCAAAATATTTTTTAAAAAATCCACGTCTATTGCAGGCCCTCTAACATATTATTTAAAAGATCCACGTCTGCTATAGGGCCTCGAAAATATTTTTTTAAAAATCCAAGTCTGTAATAGGGCCTCCAAAATATTTTTTAAAAAATCCACGTCTGTTATAGGTCCTCCAAATTTTTTTTTTTAAATTCACGTCTGTTATAGGTCCTCCAAAAATATTTTTTAAAAAATCCACGTCTGTTATAGGTCCTCCAAAATATTTTTTTGAAAAAACCACGTCTGTTATAGGGCCTCCAAATATTTTATAAAAAGTCCACGTCTGTTGTAGGCCCTCCAAAATATTTTTTAAAAAATATAGGCCCTCCAAATTATTTTTTTTTATAAAACCACGTCTGTTCTAGGACCTCCAAAATATTTTCTTTACATATATTTTTTAATTAATTTATTTTTTCTTTTATTTATGCATACAAGTTTTGATATCCTCCAGCTAACATATTGATATGCATTAGCCAACTGTCAATATCAGCTTCTTCATCTTTGCCGTTAAAGTTCAAGAGTTCAACTTTGACTCTACTCCATGTGTTCTCCACTTTAGCTGGCAATAATTCATTCATGAATCCTCCATTCAGTTGTTGCTGAATTAAATTTTAAGCTAAGTTTAATTGCCTAACATTTCAAAAATCCTTCTCTGCCACATTTTTATTTGTTAAAACTTTTTCAATATCTGTTGGTTTAGGGCTGTTCAGTAGCTACACATGTAAGTCGTTTATGGGATGCGATAAATCTATTCCAACCTTACAACCAATTTCCTACCTCAATTTGTCTTATTTTTATCTCAGAGCATTTTTAACCGGTTAACATCCTTTTGCTCGGCAACAAATCTGTGTGTATGTGTGTGTGTGTCTGTGTGATGGCATGTGTAAATATTTGGCATTTAGCTCCCTAGACACACACACACTCACATTTTATACTCAGTTTCCGCCTCTGGAGTAATTAGTCAATTTATTGCAGAAGGTAAAAAAGTGTTAAAGCGTAAAAATGTTATAGCTAACAATTCTCTCCCGTTCTCCTGCCAAGAAAACGCAAAAAGTTTCACCAAAAACAATCCACAAAAATGGATGAATGCTGGTTTCCCAGTCACAAAAGAAGGAGACGTAGAAAAAAAAAAATACGACAACAAATCGAAATGTTTAGAATTACTTTAGGGTATAATAGCTTATCAGCATCCTCTTCATCGTCATCGCCAAGTTTATTGTCATGAACACAAAGTTTTGCTGTCGTCTCCGACTTGCCCGCCTTTCCAGCAAAAGGGTCGGGCGAGGAGATAACTTGTAAAAAAAAGGAAAAGTTTGTGTGTTCATTGGTGGCGTTATATCCCCAAAGGGAATGGTAAATGTATACGTCAGTAGATAGGTAGATAGCTTTGATGGTAGGTGTGCTCCGGAATTGATTCTTGTTATTTCCATGCCACAGTTGTGAAGCCGTTCTGCTATTTCATTATAAGCGTATCTAATTTAGGCAATGAAAATCAAGTAGAACATAAACGTCTTTTGGGAGATGGTTTTAAATTCGTTATGGTCCCATAAAGATGCCAATTATATGGCGAAGAAGAAACTGGGATTTGTTAATTTAGAGGAAATCTTTTTCTTATGAATTTATTTCCGAGAATCGACATTTAGTTAATTTTTTAAACGTTAAGGTAGGCAAAAAGAGAGAGGAAAATATTTATTCTCATTTAGTGGAAAATGAAGTCAAATGAAGGTATTAAAAAGACAAAGAGGATTACTATTAGCTAATGGGATTCATAAATTGAATAAATCAGTATCTAGTCGCTAAATGTCAATGGCTGAATTGAAGAAAATAATAAACTGTCGTGGTATTACAGGAGAGAATCTGGTCTTCTTAAGGAATACCGTTAGATCTTCTTGAAGAGCATCAGTTGGAAAACCAATATTAGGGAACATTTTGGTCATCTTATCGATGGCCATTTAATTTTCTTATGGAATTCATTTTGCTCATCATCGGTCTCCTTATAAGACGATATGGGGTCACCTTCTAGAAGGCCTTTTGGGCTTCCTATAGGAGATCATTTTATCTTTATCTTTGGATTTTTACGTAATAGCATGCAGACCTCTTATAGAATACCATCCTCCTGAGCGTCAACAACTGGTTGGCTGAACATGAAATGATGATTTGCTAATTACCTGTACGTGAGCTTCACTACAGCAACAGCTGAGCATCAATGCCTGAGAGTTGACGAGTATCAAGAGGTGAACGTTTGTAAACATCAACAATTGAGAGGTATCAACAGCAGCGTTGGGTGAACCATCAGCTGGTGGACCATCAATTGCTGAGAGCCTGCCGAAAGCTATTGAGCATTAACAGCAAAGCTGGAGAACATCATCAATCGCTGAGCTAACCTCAGCTCAGTAGAGAGCAATTAAAAAGTTGTGTAATTGAGCATCACAACATCTGAACTAATGAGTATTAACAGCTGAGCTGGTAACCCAGCTGAGCTGGTGACCCCCAACAGTTGAGCTGGTGACCCTCAACAGCTGAGCTGGTGACCCTCAACAGCTGAGCTGGTGACCCTCAACAGCTGAGCTGGTGACCTCAACAGCTGAGCTGGTGACTATCAAGAGCTGAGCTGGTGACCATCAA